GTGTGTGTGTGTGTGTGTGTGTGTGTGTGTGTGTGTGTGTGTGTGTGAGCTGATTACTGCTATCGAACCACCACCCCTGTGTCCTGCACGCACGCACGTGAGGATGTACAGTTTGTTTAAATCTAGAGTATCACTCTCGTTCCTCATCAAATATCACATGTGCACAAACACACAAGCGTGGAGAAATGTTGACATCAATTAGTTAATTTGTAAACATAAAAACAGACTTGAATCAACTTTTTAGAGAGAGAAACCTCTCTCCTAATTGTTTCTCAAGCTCCATCTTTACACAAGCTTTTTAATAACCTACAAAGAAGCGCACACACACACACGTCACCATCAACACACAGCGCAAGCTTGAGTTGAGACACACACGTCAATGTCGGCATGACGTCCTTCCACTACATTTAAACACAAAGGCAAATTGAAAACAAATATGTTCACTGAGATGCACACACACACACGGTGTGTAATGTATTAGTGATGATTACTTGGTTGTAGACCTCCAACAGTGGATCTTCAGTGGCGCATGACAGCTCGCCTCCGTCCACCCCCACAGCTCCCACCGCGCCCTTCCAGCACCACCTGGGTTAACTCAGTGTGTGTGTGTGTGTGTGTGTGTGTGTGTGTGTGTGTGTGCGCGCATGTGAAGACTACATGAAGCTTTCCTCTTCAAATGCTACAAGATATTTCCATTTTGAAAAAGAAAAAGAAAAGAATCCTGTAAAGTTAATGTTTCAGTGCTCCGCTGTGAATGCAGTGCAGCCTGAGAGCTTGATGTTGAGTCAAACTGTAGCTTGAGTAGCCTGTTGACAGTTTTCTGTAGCGCTTCATGTAATTTATAAGAGTAGATGTGACTGTTGTTTATATACCGAAAATACTGAAATCAGGGACATCCTGTGTGGAGTTTTTCAGTCGGAGCAGGAGTTCAGTCAAATACAAAATACGTTTTCTAGTCAAAGCTCATTGCAGCTTTCTGTCTTGTGTTTCATTGCAAGTTATTTTGGTATGTTTCAGCTGCTGGAATCCACACAGACACTGGTCTCCTTGTCTCATGATCCTCCAAAATAAATGTTACATTTCGGTGTGATATTGAAAACCGAATGTTGCGTGCGACTGCTGACATCTAACCTACGATTAACACTAACAGTTAGTGTGTTGAGTGTAAAATGATGATTCTGTGTTGTGCTGAAGGAAGAAGCCCTGGTTGTTTGGTTTCTGAATGAGTGGCACCAACACACGCCTGCAACCCTTTCAGCATGAAGTAACATCATCCCTTCACCAGTTATCTGTGTTGAAGGTGCATGTTTCCTTCAGTACTGAGGTCATGTTCTGTATGAGGAAGCCTTGTGGTTTGCGTGTGTGTTGGTGTGTGTTGAGCACATGTGTGGAAAGGGAATGATCAGAGACATTTCCACTCGCCTGCTTCCACCCTGACCAGCATCCATATTTCATAGCCAGCAATGGGCCACACACACACTCACACACACACACACACACAAACGCAGCTGCTACTGCAGAATACTTCCTAGTGTTAGGCACATGATGTCTTCAACCACATGATTCTACAGCAAAGAGTAATTGTGCAAGAATGTACTTCCACACACACACACGCAGCCTTTTTCCAGTGCAATTCCTTATTGTGTTCAGCGATGCAAGAAGCATGGCTAAGTTTTCATGGTGTTATCGTCAGTATGAAGTCAGAGCACAAGCGCATGAAAGGTGAACACGCAGTGTATCGATCGTCCAGAGGACAGGAAGTGTGGAGTTTGGCTTAAAGTTAAAAGGTCTCGACACCTTTGATAGGTCAGGCAGGTCAGCGGACGTCCGCGCTGAGCCGTCGCAACACACCACGTCCACAGTAACGGAGGAGGCACACGCAACATCTGGTTTTCGGTGATTGTGCGCTCATTCTACAAACGGATGACATTATTCGTTATAAATCAAGCCTCAAAACTTTCTCTTTTATGTGCAATTTTAATGCCAAAATGTGAACCACAATTGCATCTGATCCGCATCAACACAAAAACTTACCACTCCACCCACCTCTGTGCCAGCCGCTTCCTTCAGAGTCACAAACGTATTTGATAGCAGAAGACCATTTTCACGCCCTGGCACACATTTGGTTATTTCTGAAAATGCTGAAATTACCCGTCACTGAAATGGCGACATTGTTTGCTCTGCTGCCGCCCGCATGGAAATAAAATGCATGCCATGATTGTGTAGGAACTAGGTTTTACCAGATGACCAGAGCAAGTAAACCGTGCCGTTTTCACATACGCCGTAGTCGGTGACCTGTTTCGGTCCGGCTGCTCTGGGGTCTGCTGAATGTGTCTCACTCGATACTCACAGGGACAAAGACTGCAGATCCACCAAGACTCTCTTCAAAAGGAAAGAACCTGCTGTGGCTGTGATGGCTGCCCAAAAAAAAACACCAGATTTGGTTTTAGAATCTTGTAAAAAAAACAAACAAAAAAAAAACAAAACAAGATGTCAAATCAACTGTAGCAGCACAGGTGTGGTTTTAAGTCTGCCCCACTGGGTTGTGCATGCATATTTCAACAATGTGTGTCATTCAGTCAGTAAAGAAGGCCACAGTCCAGCAAAACGAGATGTGTGTGTGTGTGTGTATATATATATATGTATATATATGAGAGAGAGAGAGAGGGAGCGCAGTTCAAATAATCAATTACATTTCTTTTATATAAAATATTCTTTACTCAACTGTTGACTTTCTGCAATCCTGTTAATTTAGGAATGTGTGTGTGTTTATGTGCACACATAAGTGCGTGTGTGTGTGTTCAGTGTAAGGTTGACTGACCCGTGGAAAATGTTATTTTAGTTCTAATGTAATGAGTTATGACTGCTCCTCCTGAGGGAGGCACACCCCACCTACACACACACACACACAAAAACACACACTGACGTCACTAGGCTGGATGCTTTTCTTCAGGTTTCCTGTGGACAGACACGGTAAACGGTCCCTAATTATGCCTCTGGAAAACTTCCGCGGTAATAGAGGAAGAAAGCAGCAGCAGCAGCTCTTCATGTGTCTGCAGGCGGTGGTTCGGTGGCTCATAATTTGATTCTCACAGAGAGACGTCGATGGGGGGTATTAAAGGATGGTTAAAAGAAAGGAAAGAAATAATGAAGGTGAAGAAATAATAATAGTAATGACGCTTATTTATAAACGGAGATGAATGGAAGAGCGAATCATGGACCACTGAGGAAAAGAGACGGGAATGAATGAGATGAAAGTTTAATGATGCCAGAGGGGAAATTTGGGCCATCGCAGCTGGAGAGTGAAGATCAGATGCAGACCTGTCTTGTACTTGAGGATTATGCCTACAGTTCAGCTGATGTAAATGTGACAAGTCAAGACATCACATATTATTGAAATGTAATAATCAAAGTCATTTAGCCTGCCATCTGTTAGCTAAACATTTTTATTCTGTGACATTCCTGCAAGCTAAGAACTCTGTTAATGTGGCTGATTTAGTGTTAAAATACTGCGGGGCAGAGTTCGTATGTGGTCAGGGTTTAAGAAAAGTCTGTGTGTCGAGACTGTTAGCAAGAGAGACAGGTGGGTGAATATTACCTTCCAGATGAGGATGTAAACAGGAAACAGTGAAGGAAAGATGGAGGTCGTAAAGAAAAGGAGGAGGCAGTGAAATAAATATCATTTTGCATCTTTCAATTGAATTACTCTGCACTTTTCATTTGGCAAGTATTTAATTCACACAGGAATTAAATAGGCTTTTCCATGTGTTTTCTTTTCATACAAACTATTTATTTATTGATATACCAGAAAACATGCTATATCGTGACAGAAGAGCCCAGTCCTACGGAGAGGAAGAGGTTGTGATGGAGATTCTTATGGAGGGACATACAGTAATTCTTTGCTCTCCGTCCGTCCAGCTGATGACGAAGCATCCAGCGAAGCGGCTCGGCTGTGCTCCGGAGGGGGAGAGAGACATCAGGGAGCACAGCTTCTTCCGCTACATGGACTGGGAGAAACTGGAGAACAAGGAAGTGCAGCCACCATTCAAACCAAGAGCTGTAAGTCTGAACCCGACTTGACCCCAAAATAAGGAGATGCAATCCCTCCTATGAGTCGTGGGGCTAATTAGTCGCCCCAAGCCAGCAGAGACCAGGAGTTTAATTCCTGTTGGTGGTTAAATTCCTGGTAAAGAAGCTGCTTAGAGCGACGTCTCTCTGAGTCTAACTTCAACACCTATCTCTCTTCTGTTACTTTACTCATCTTTTCACTTTCAATGTGAGTGTTTCTGTCTCTTCCCCCTCCTCTGTATGGGACAATGCACACAGGTAAGTCAGGATATGGTGATGGTGATTGGGTTGAATGTGCGCTGATGAAGATAACACAGAGAATGTTGATAACGGTGATCGTGAAGAAGACGATGAAAGAGTGAAAGGTGCGGTGATGAATGTGGGTCGGATGAGGAAGATGTTGGCGATGACAGTGGCTGGGAATGAGGAGCACACTGGTGACAGCGGCCACAACCGTGCTGGTGGAGATCGTCAGAATTTGTTTGATTTGGGAGTTAAGCTAAAACAGTTTGGTGCTTTTGTTAGGGTTAGATCAGGCGAGTGAAGCCAATGTGGAAGTGTCTTAAAACGTTCATTCTCTCTGCTGACCAGCAGGGGGCGACTCCTCTGGTTGTATAGAAGTCTATGAGAAGATGACTCTACTTCTCTCTTGATTTATTACCTCAGTAAACATTGTAAACATGAGTTTATGGTCTCAATCTCTAGTTTCAAGTCTTCTTCAATACAGCATGATGTTCATTTAGTAAACTATGGTCCATTTAGAGTAAAATAGACCATAAAGCAGGGGATGCTTTAGGGCGGGGCTACACGGTGATTGATAGGTCGCTGCCGCTACCAGCTTCCAAACTCGAGGCTTCTTAGCGGCAGTCCAGAAACCAGTGGGTGACGTCACGATGACTACGTCCACTTCCTAAATACAGTCTGTGGGTCAGATTGAGTTTAGAGTAAACCTCAAGGGAACAAGTGAGCGTCCTTACAGTCTCACCTGAAGCAACTGTGTGCTCGTGTTTTTCCTTTGCTGTGCTTTTTTTTCTCTTTTTTCTTCTACAACCAAATTAGTTTGATCATAACGAGTCAGAATGATGTCATCGTATACTAAGACATACACACACAAACACCATAACATGTACGCACACTCACACACAGCCTCAGGCCACACGGCTGCTGAAGAGTTTTCCTGAGTTGAGCTTTTTATGCAGCTGTCTTGGCCCGCTGGGGTTCTGTGTGTGTGTGTGTGTGTGTGTGTGTGTGTGTGTGTGTGTGTGTGTGTGTGTGTGTGTGTGTGTGTGTGTGTTAGAGATCACCATTTGGACCTGCTTTCACACTAGAGGTGCGTTCTTCTGCAGAGTCCTCTGATGTGACTACTAACATATGTTGTCTGATCTCTTCTTCTCTCTTCTCTCCTTCTGTATCGGCCTCTTCTCTCTGTTTGATCGTCTTTCTAACATCTCTCACCTGTCTGTGCTGTCGCTTCCCATCTCTCTCTCTCTCGCGCTCTCTCTCTCTCTCTCTCTTCCTGTCTTTCTTCTCCCTTCTGAGAACAAATAAAGGTTCAGATTTTCTTTTTTTGAAGAACCATAGTGTTTACCCACGCAGAAAAGTTTACAGTTCAGTTTGGCTCCTGAAGGTCGTTCTTTGATCTTGTTGGTCGGTCATGTGTGCATTGTTTTAAAGAGGTGCTCCGTAGATTTCACACTAAAACCATGTTCCTTCAGAGTGGTGTGTGATGGTGTTTGTCTCCAGACGATTGTTGAAGAAGGACGTCTGATTAAAACCAGTATCACTGGTTGAAGTGGTGCTTTGGTCAGAGGTTCCTAACTGATTATGGTCTGTATTCACACTCTGCGTGCCTTTTAAAGAGTCTGTTGGTGTGATGGTTGATCAGATGAGCTTTTAAATGTGTGATTGACTAACAGACGGATAAAGAATGGGTCCCCGGAGCTTCATTTACAGCTGTCGTCTTAAATGATCATTGTTCATCTGTCTGTCCATCGAGCAATCTGTCGTCGATCCATTCATCCATCCTTCACCTCAAACACACCATCCATCCATCTGTTCACTGCTGCCACGCGTCAACCCATCTGTCCTGACACATTTTTATTTGTCCTCTCTGTGTTCACAGTTTTCTCACGTTGGTTTCTGTTTATTTGCATGTTCTGGGTCTCGGTCTCAAACGAAACCTGTCCTGGAGTGCACCCCCGTTGACAGAAAGCTCACAGTATACTCGCTTTCATTTAAAAAACAAAGAATTCAAATCTAACAGGAACATCTCACCTCTTCTTGCATGAACAAGGCTCATAGTTTGGCCCAAATCAAATACAATAAGAAACAAAGGTGCTAACCATATCAGCTGGCTCGTGTACTTTGTGGCACTCGTTTCATTTCCCTCTGTGGCGAATTCTTCCCACCTGGTTCCTCACATAAGTTAAAACAAACGCAAGTAATTAGCTGCAAATACAATTTGACCCTGGTGTATTCCTCATTTCACATATTTCCCCAAACTATAAACAATCTGGCTTTAATTTCATCTGGGTTTTTTTTTTTTAATTTTTACAAGTTACAGAGATTTAATGAGTTTGTAGTTTTCCTCTGGGTGATGTTGTCAGAAGACACTGAATCCTTGTGTTAATTAAAGCTCCGCGCAGTGATGGAGAGAGAGAGAGAAGGAAGAGCTCGGCCCGACGTCCCCGTGAGGCGTACTGTAGGGAAAATCTAGTTTTCAAGTTAATAACTTGTTTTATGTACTTAGACGGACGCACATCTCGTGGGTATATAAGCTCTTTTTGGGTCCCCAGTGGTCCGAACGAGGAGATGAAGTGGACTGAAATGAACAATGACTTCATTTTTCTTCCAAATTGCTTCTTGAGAAAATGAATTCTTGCTAATGTGAACTGCACAATACTCTGAGATGATTTTACTTTTCTGTAAGCACTTCGAGAGTTTGATTGGATAGTGATAATTGATCTTCTACTATTGCTAAATTTATACTCTCAATAATAGCATTTCTAATTAGCAGATGTAATTTCATTACGATGGCGTAATCGTCATGTAGAATTTTTATTTTTTCTCAAATTGCGCCGCTTCTGAGCAAATATCTATAGAGATTCTGAGTTATTCTCAGTTATTTGCATATTAGCTGGTTGTCTGATTTGGTTTATCGTATATCAGCAGGTCTTCACAGCTGCAGCATATAATTAACCCTCAATTACACTATTATCATCACATGGCTTTGAGCCTGATTCTTGTTCCACTATTGATAAATTCCAAGTATTACCGCCCAAAAATCAAGATGAAATACCGAGGAAAAGTTGTTTTTGGCTATTAAAGTACAGCCATGGGGGGGGGGGGGGTTAAATGCTCGTTATTAAATTGTTATAGCTCCATTCATAATCCAGTGTAACGCACTGCCACAGGACGTTTGAGACTTCAGTGGCCTTTTTCTGTTTTAAAATTGGAGTTGAATATGTTTCAAATATTTGAAAAGGGGGGGAAGCATGTGCCTGAGGCGCGCTTGATTTATGCTCTCCTGAGATGGTATTTTTGCATCACTTTGAAAGTAATAACAAATTACCTTTCAGCCGATACACATGGAGAGTTGAATCGAGCTCACCCACGGCGCTGGCACCTTGTTTTGATATTTGAAACCATGTTCAAGTGATGTCATCTCACACCCTGGTTCAACCCACCATTCCCCTTCTTTTGTTTTCCTCTCCCCCCCCCCCCCCCTTGCACTCCATCCCTCCCCACCCTCCTCAACAGTGTGGACGCGATGCCGAGAACTTTGACCGTTTTTTCACACGCCACCCGCCGGTGCTGACCCCTCCCGATGAGGAAGTGATTCAGAACCTGGACCAGGACGAGTTCCAGGGATTCTCCTTTATCAACCCAGAGTTCCCAGGAGCTGATGCTACCCCCACTGCCGCCGAGCAGGCTTGATTTCAGCTCATGCACGCACACAAACACGTACATATATACCCCCGGTATCAACCCTGTATGCCCTGGATCACTCACACACACACACACACACACACATATCAACTTTAAATATCCTTTAAATGATTTACAATGTTACAGGAGCCAAGAAGCCATGACTTAAACTGATACACAGACACACTGTATACCCAAAAACACACACATTTGTTGTTCACACTGCTGCAACCTTCTTCTGAGGGTCCATGTGCTCTCTATGAAAGGGCCTGAATGCGTGTAGCACTCTAGTGCAGCCCAGAAAATAGAATTCAGACTGAGAAATTGGGATAATTTGATTGAACAAATCCTTTTTTTCATGCTTCTACGTGGTCAAAATGTGACTACTTAGCAAGATACGAGTCATCGACTTTATCCGAGCTTTGATTCAACTTGTGTCGCTCACAGTGTGAACAAAGTGTTTGTGTTCATTGGACACCTCATCAGAATAAATGGTGACCCTTAAAATCCAGACTTTAACTTGGGGAACAAAAATGTCATAAACGCAGTAAATTTACGCCCTAAATCCAGATTAGTAGTCAAGTCGTGAGTCCACGGCCAGCACATGAAAATGCACGACAGCATAATTCACATGTAACATAGCGTCAGCATTCCATTTTGTTACCTTTTTTTTTGTTTTGGTGGAAATTGTGATTTAACTTTTCTTTCACTCATTCCTCAACTATTCTGTACTTCTGGTGTGCTTTTTGTTAATGTGCAGTAATAATGGTGTCTGTATGTTGATCCTTATCTTTAACTGGAATGCTTCACATACTTGTGCATGAGTTTCTATATCAATAATAGCCCCGGACTTCGTCTCCCAGCAGCATGTTAGCATCTTACCTCTGCACCCCTGTGCTCTCATGGTTTTTCAAAATATGTATTTGGTGTATGATTTTACGCATTGAGACGGTGGAAGATTTGTGCCACAACAGACCACAAATATCAGATTTTCTTTGTGTCTTATTTGCTGTTCAGCACTGGGCTCATGATGGTAAAATGCTGTTGGGAAAGGTAGTCTTTATACAGGCTTTAAGTCAGTTAAATAGATAATACTACTTCTTATACTCTCACTTTCTGTTATCTAGTATATAAGCAATGAAAGAGACTAGCAGTTAGTTTCACAAAAAGCATGATTCAGATACCTGGGCATTTGTTTACAGCGTGTGTGTGTGTGTGTGTGTGTGTGTGTGTGTGTGTGCGCGTGTGTGTGTGCGAACGAGCACTGGGTATGAAAACGCACGTTTGCATCTTTGAATGTGTGTCAGTACCTGCCTTCCCAGCGCCTTGCATTGGCCTTGCGTTTACATTTGTTTGTGTGGTGAATGTCTGCACCCCCTCAAAATACAGCAGTATTGGTATGATCCACTTTACTTCCAAACAGCGGCTCCACAAGTGGCTGAAGAGAAGAATAGAAGGAGAGATGCATGATATTTAAATTTAAACATTTAAAGATCATATCAGGTTTCAGTAAATGTCGACTAGAGATTAGTAATACTAGAGAAAATGTGTGCTTACATGAAGTCCTAATGACTTCCTCAAGCCTTGTGTTTGAATCATTGACGTTTGTACAGCAAAAAGAAAAGAAAGAAATGCCATGAGCTGGATTTCAAACAGCGGACCAATATGTCATGCAGCTCTACTTCTGATCGAGATTCTCTGGTTACGTGGGAACGGATTTAAGGCTCAACTCACTATGATTGGTGTTTTTCAAGCAGCACATGAGGACACAGGTGGAAGCTATAGGCCTCCTTCTGAAGCAGGACAACACGTGTGTGTTTTGTGCGTCTTGTTTTCCTTAGCGAGCAATAATCTTGTTGACAGGAAGGCAGAACTGGTACTGAAGCAGCCTTCAGAGGGCTCAGGTTAGGACCGTCAGTCATTCACATGCAAAAGGATACGAGGTTATGAAGCTTGTTAGTCGCCACGTTTATCCAGCTAAAAAAGAAAAAACATGGCCGCATCTTATACACTTCAATGCAGCCAACATTGCGTGGAAGGTGCTGAGAAATATGTCAGGGGGCCTGTATATACTTGTGTTACTGTTCTCCAGACAGATTGTCTGGAATTAATCTCAGTAACATTTAATGGTGGAAAATGTAACCTGCATTTAGAAGAGATATCTTTTGGTTGACACTGGAGATTTGTGCTTCCTGACATGCGGCCCAGATGATACAGCGATCCAGGTCTCCTTTAGCTGCCTCATCACTGATCTAAATGTTTTCACACACAGACATCCGTAATGCATGTTTGCATTATGTTCTGTGACGTAATTTGACATTTTGATTGGGTTAATTGATGAGAACTAACATCTTAACATCTGGAGAAAGTCGGTCCTGTCTGTTCTCTCTGCTGATGAGTTGAGCACAGTTGAGCAGCTTGAGCGCTTTCACGTTTCATCCACAAATTATGAGTCTGAAAGTAAATGCAGCTGTTGTGTTTTTATGACTTAACGACTTAACAGCTAAATATGTGTCCATCATCTGTGTCTACATTCATTGTCGGTATTTATTGCAGTCAGTGTCTCCTGTATTATAACGGTTAACTATATTTACTGAAACATAAACATATTATAACTGTGTCAAATGTTGATATTTACACCATGTGGTCAGTATTGTAACGGACGAGAGGAGAAGTCTTACTGTTTTCATGATTCCTTTCTGCTGAAGGAGAAGCAAAGTGAACTCTGCATGAAAAAAGAAAATGCTTTTGTTTAATCTTTTTATTATAGGATTTATACACTTTTGACATATTAGGGTAATTTCATGTTTTGTGTCTGCATTGCTTCAAAGGTGTGATCAAAGCTACTGTTGTGTGCTATATGAGAAAATTATATACACAAAGAAAGGTTTAAAAAAAAAAAAAAAGCTTCTCACAATGCTTTCCATGTGCCAACATTTTTTGTTTGTTTGTTTTCCAGGAAAAACAGGCATATAATAAAGGATTCAAAGATGTTTTAGGGGATCTTTGCTGTTGTTTTTATATTCATATGAAGTTCATTGAGTTTCAATGTGATCGGGGGGGAGGAAAGAGATTAGAGTGATGGAGGGTGAAAGAGAGAGGAAAACCAGAGGGAAGCAATTCCACGATGAGGGAGGACGAGGTAGTAGGAAGGGACGGTGGAAGGGAGGGAACGAGGAAGCAGAGTGAGGCTCTGTGAAGCGGGGCAGGTGGCTACGACAGGCTGTGCATATTTCATGGCTGCCACTTATCATAAGAGTCTTTCCCTGATGGGGGAAGCGTAGGTCTGATGACTTCAAGGAAATAACATGCAGAACACGGCCTACATACACAGAGCCCTGCTGAGCCACTCAGCCGCCTTTAAAGCTGCTCGCTATCCAGCTGAAGTGGAGCTGCAGCTCTGACTATAGCTGCACATTTACATCGAACAGGGGTTACTGGATTTCCACTTTCCACTAGCTAGCAGGCTACAATATCGTGTTTACGATGGAAAAACGGCATCTTCAAGACACCAATTATCCACTGGGAGTGTTTCTGTCTGTGATCGCAAGAACGGTGAAAGCACGTGAGGTTCACAATCTATTGATGAGAAGAGAAAAAACTGTGCACGCGAGGTTCAACTTTGATGGAGTTAATCAAACGCGTTGAGATGACTTTCGGGTTCTTCACATTTAGGTGGACTGCCGAGGCACGTGACCATAAGAGGTGACATCTGGCTCAGATGTTTGTTTAAGAATAGGATATTTTGCTGTGACTGTCAACAATTTAACCAATCTTTTTTTTTACCCATGCTGGATTATGGGTCAGCACCTGCAGTGTAATGTTTGCTCATCAAGACACCACACTCAAGACACCCAAAGGAATGTTTCTCTGGAGGTTGTCGTGTGTTCTTTACATCAGCCATGTCACATGTTTAAATAGCATAGTTTGCGCTATGCTAGCACATTTTGGAAAATAGCTTGAGTCATGTTCTCGTAGAGAGTTGGCGTTGAAAAGATTGATACGAATTTTGGAACAAATATGAAGCTAAAGCTAGTAGATGGTTAGCTTAAATTAGCATGAAGACTGAGGGGAAACATGAACAATCCGTCTACCAGCACCTGTGAAGCGTTCTAATTAGCATATGTTTTATCTTTGTTGCTCCGTCAACAAACGGAAATGAAAACACTGAAATGCGTGTTTTCGGGCGGGTGCAGACTTCAGACTTTATGGAAACTGAAACTGGTCTGGAACACTTTACTGTAATGTCACTCTGTAGAAGTGTGACATTAAAGTGAAGTCTCATTTTCATTTCCTTGAGCAGATAAATGTTCCTGTTTAGTGACGAGGTTGATGAACTTTTATTCACAGAGCGCTTTAGCTGATTAGCAGGCAAGCTAAAAGGATCCATATACAGTATCAAACGATTAGTGATTCATTCTGAGCAAACGGCTGAAGAGTCACTTTCACCTTGGATGTGAAATGACTTGCATTCAGTGGAGGAGCCTTCCCTGGTTACTGCTTCATCTTGTGTCAAATACGTTTTAAATGCTGTTCTTTACATTTAAAAACAACGGCTTCCTGTTGCTCTGTATCCTGTACAGTTCTCCTCAGAAGACATACCCACACATTCCTCTTTGTTAGCTGTACACTAACATTGTGCTGCAGCTGTATTTTAAGCAAATGTACCATAACAGCAGTACGAACTCCCATGTAACGGTAAGTTCCAGCACATAAGCTGTATAAAGTTTTTATTGGAGTGGATGTAATAGCCATGTACACAGTAAGCCGCAGCAGCGCTGGAGTGTGTGTGATAATTAATTCCAAATGTTGCGGCCCCCAAATTAAAGCCAGTGGCTTCGGCACAAAGCAGCCTGCGCCTTATCAGCCCAAAACAGGTCAGCGTTCGATACCGCCTTTCATTCACCCTCCTCTCCTCTTCACCTCCCCTTTTCCTCTGTGCCTCCCGCTCTCCTCCGCATCCTCAGCTGACATAGGCTCGTCTCCCACTAATCCTCTCGTTACTGAAAAGAGATGGGGAGAGAGAGAGAGAGGGAGGAAGGAAGGGAGGTGTAAAGAGGCAAAGACTAAATTAAAGACTCTGAGTCGTGTTTCTCTATTAAAACCGCTGCCTCTGGAACACAGCGACTTGAAAATAAACCAGTTGTGTGTTTTGCCCTGATGCTACTGTATATTCCAAGCTTTGTATCTATACATCTCTACCAAGGGCCACTGATATTTATCTCACCCCCTGTCCTTTGCTGCATCGCTTTCTCTCTCCGTCTCTCTGCCTCAGCATTAACTGCAATTGAAGCGTGTTGAGATGGAACACATTATGAGCTGGCCTACATGGCTGCCAGCTGTGCGTGTGTGTGTGTGTGTGTGTGTATTTTTGGTAAATAGCTGCATGCACGGTCTTGGGCAGTGTAGGCTACGGAGGATTTACACGGTTTGGGAAGCATAAACACACGCATACACATCACTGCTTGTTCCAGTTCCAGTCATAAGTTGATTGAGATTTAGTTTGACCGTATATAGATCAACATCAGTTACATGGATGAGAAAGATTTCCTAGAATATTCCTTCAGGATGTGAAAAACGAAATTGTATGCAGGACCATTGTGCTGTATTCAAGCTAATTTACCAGTCAAATGTTTTAGGAATTTTTGTGTTTCCATTGATGTATTCTTACGTGCAATTGAGCATAAAAGCTTTCGCTCACTTATGGTGGTTTTAGTCGTTGTTGAAAGAGACTCGATGCGCTAAATAAATTATAGAAATAAATGTCTTTGCTGGATGAATTCTGACGTAGCGGACATTTAACCCACATGTTTCTGCTGTCGTCGTCTTTTTGGATATTATAACACACAAATGCTTGTCTTCTTCTTCTTCGGACAACATGAAACATGGCCAATACGAGCAGGCATGAAGGAACAAATACAACTTGTTTCCTGCTGGATTACAGCCATGCGCAGCCTTTAGTGCCAACTTCTCACCAAACTGCGCTATAGCCTATCATTCACTCCAACCAGCTGATGGAAACACGACTAATTTGTATTTTCTTTTTTGTGACGTTTCTAAAATTCACTTTAAAATTAGCTTGACACTTAAATGGAAACGTGTCTAATGGGACCTTGATTTCAGACAGAGTTCAATAAAAGGTCGACATTGTGAACTGAAATCAAACTTTTGCTAACGGATTCCACCAGCTGTAGCTAGGTAGCTAACTGAGCTAATGCTAGCTCCATGGGTTGATTGACAAAAGTCTCCAGTTGATGTTTTAATTTTCCTGACTGACTCGTTTTAAACATGAATGTTGTAAAAAGGGTCTTGGATAATTATATGATATTATATAATATTATAAATATTGTGCTAAACGACTGAAGGTAAAGCTGCATATTCCATATGATTAGGAAAATATTGTTTAATTTTTCCATATTAATTCCAGCATATAGCTCCACACATCTTCAAGTCTAATCAAACGCATCAAAAACACACATGTGGGTCTTTTAACATACAGTGTCTGCTCTTTTCAACTTTTGTGGGTTCAAGGTTATAAAAATCATCCTATTACTCATTATCTGACAACATATATTCAGTATCAGCTTCCATCTCTTCATTGAAGCTATATTATGTTTAAACTTAGTGAAATATTAAAACCCAATCTGCATGTTTTTTTATGGCCACGCCTTTACATCAAATTTAAACATCCACTCTCGAAAAATGACATATTTGGGAACTATGGGATCCTTGGGATAAAGTACTGTGAATTTCTGCACAGCAAGATTGTCAGTCCGCTAACTGTGAATTGACACGGTTAAATAAATAAACAAACATAACTACATATCTGATCATTTGGAATGTAAATTACACCAGGCCTCTCTCGAGTGTTGTACCAGGCCTCTCTTGAGACGCGGGGCGCTCTGGTGGATATCATGCCCAGGAACATGTGGTGGATCTGGGCCAGCTGTGGCAGGTGTGTCCCTGTGGATGGAGGGAGAGTTAGCAGATGAAGGTAGGAGACGTTGGTTTGTGGTTCCTGTGATCTCTAAAGCTCTCCTGTCCCTCTCTGTCTCCACCTTCCTCTGCCTCGCTCTTGTTAAAAAGCAGAAAGCTCACGTCGGACCAACGTCACAATCAGCATTAGCTGGATCCTCCTCTTCTTTAGCTCCGTCTCTTTCTCTCTCCACCTCTTCCCGTCCTCTCCTCTGCTGTGAGCTGTTGGACTGTGGCTTCAGCTGTTTGTGTTTGTCAAACGTTCACGCCGTTAGAGGCTCAGTCTCTTGACTTTGTGGATGTATTTATGCTCATGGATTTTCAGAGATGGCCCCTTGTGTGGTTTTCTCTGTGACCGCTATACTTGCTCAGTGATGTGAATATTTATGTGCCAAGCTTTTATTTCTGTTTATTTTTCTCTCTCTCTGCTTTATCCCCCTTTACCTCGTGATTCTACCAAACTATCTGCGATTATGTATTGTTTTTACTAGATTCTGCTGAAAAATATACTGCTTTTATTCTAATCTGCAACGCTCCATGGTTTTCCTTTGTTTCATTCATATCGTTCATGTTTCCTGTTTTATTGTGTCACTCCGCTCTTGTGTCAGATCTCATCACTTCCTCTCTTTGTGTGTTTTTCCACCAGTTTTGGACGTCTGTCCCGTCCCGATTAGGTCCACCTGTCCCTCGTTAGCTGTGCACTCGCCACACCTGCTCACCTGTTAGTCAGTCACTATTTATACTCGCCCAGTTCCTTTGCTGCCTGTCTGTTCATCTTCGTTGCATCATTTGTTTGGAGTTTTGTTGTCTGTTCCCTTGTCGCCTTTAATCCATTTATCAAACAGTTAAATTGCTCCTGCTGCCTCCTCTGTTTCTGTATTTGGGTCTTTCTCCTGCTAACTGCACTCAAAACTGTAACAAGTTTCTAGCTGAGAATATCTTTCCATTAATAAAAAGATAAAACAAAAAGGGCAAGGAAGTTCAAAAGAGCTGCTGTGACACTCCTTCAAAGTAACAA